GACACTATGCTTCTACGTATACGCCAGTAAGTGCACATTTGTGCTGCTATAGCCGTAGTGTCTAAAAACGACCGTTTCGTTTTGGACGGCTATAGCAGTCATGCCACATTGTGAACTTCGCTTTGACGGCTATAGCCGCAATTGTCCGTCAACGTGTTAATAAGCGGTAATTCGATAATTGAAAAAAAAACAAGTATTGTTATGAATATTTCCTTCGTATGATAATCTGTCTGTTTGAAGTGTGCAATTATCGAAAAATTACAGCGGTAATTGCACAGTGTGCAATTATCACTCAACGATAATTGCATTGTTTACAAAAACTATTTGACAGGTGTCTTTTCATGTTGAATTAGACATCTAATGTCTTCCTGACATACCTAAGATATTCAAATTAAATTTAATAAACATAAGTAATAAAATTTAAAGGGTAATTACTTTGTTTACTCAGGATATATTCATCAAAATTACACTCGTGCATCAAAATAAACAGATAATTTTGAAGCACTTGTGCAATTACCCCCGATAATATAATCAGTAGACGTCATCTTATTGTCTCAGCGTCAACGATAAAATATAGATGTAGATAGAGAGTAATCCCTGCTGTCTAGATATAATTGAAAACTATCAATAATTCATCAAAAAAAATTATCTATCTGGAGGATTACGATTGAAGAGTTTTTCGATGAAAGCGACATTTCGTCGTGACGTCATAGCGCTAGTTCGTTCGATTGGAAGGCAATATGGGAATACGGCTTGTCGTTGAATTGCCTGGATGTTTGACTGTTCAGAATTCGTGCTGTGCTTTATTAATAATAGAAGCAACACAAAAACAATATTACAAATGCTGTATCGTGTCAATGTGTCCTAGTACAACTTTTAAAACGCCAGATAAGCTATTTATTCGTGTACCATGAGATAAAAGCTGGCGTTTAAAGTGGTGAAAGGCATGCAGAAGAGCTCACAAGGATATTTCTGAGAAGACTACTGTCTATGTATGTGAAGATCATTTTAATGTAAGTATAAAAAACAGATTTAATTTTGTCTATCGTATAGCAGATATACATTTTGAATTTAGATTTCGGATAAGAATTTTTATTAAGATATTTACTTTGTTTCTCGGCTGCATTATAGTAATAGTAAATAATAACCTCAAACATAGTTATTTGCTATAGTAGACGATAAAAAAGAAACAATAAGTATCTGAGAAGGAAAAATCTCGTTTTATCGTCGTGTATTTACGTTAAATATCTAATATTTTTGTCACGCAATATGAACATTAACACATATTTTTATATAGCTTTAATATTATTTATTTATTCCAGCAGGAAGAAGATATGGATAACTATGTTAAATTCAAGTTAATGGGAGGTCTGACAAATGCCAAATCACTTTTACTGATGTGTTTTAGTTTTTACTAGCATGAAAACAATATGTTCTTATTTTTTATTAAATCACTTACATTTTGATCAATAGGTACTGTTTGAATTTTGAAAATTATAGCCATTAAAACTGCAATCTAACATTTTATCGATTTATATAACTAAAACTATTGACTATTTTGTCCGGAAATCTACCTGTTAGCTTTAACACCGCTTCTTCAGCTTCTTCTAACTTCAGCAGGAGTAAAACTTTCGGTGTTTTTAATGTAAGATGCCACCATTAACATATCCATCAGTGGTAAAATGACAGATTATCCTTTTTTACAAAACCTGGGTCAGTCATTTTGAAAGATTTTACTTTTCTCCTGATACACTATAGAAACGTTTTAACGACAATATCAAGACTGAGATTACATGTTTACATGCTCTGCATTGCAGCCGCCGCGACCAAATAGCTAGTTGACGTCACAACTGGTCCCAGCCAATGACGACGCGTTACAAGTGTGATTTGAATTATATAGTTTTTTATTGCTTATATTAATTACATAGAAATAAAAAATGAGTTTTTTGGTAAACTGTGGTGTTTTTATTAGTATTAAGGTACATTTGCTAGTAATATTTTTCTAATTTAATTTTTTGTACAAGTTCCCAATTATTGGGGCCCATTTGGAAGCCAAGATTTGGAACAATTTCCACCTCAAACGGACTATCTTCAGGATAAAACCATAGATTTGGAGAATTTTCTTATTTTATCAGGCGCTCGCGTTCGAAGTTAACAATATTTCGAAGTTTACCTAATAGACAATCTCTTTACCAACGACTTTTCTTAGTGGTGTTTCATGTGAAAATGCGGTTTTTCGCTACTTTTCACAAGAACACTCCGTTTCGTGATATTATTTAATAACACAGAACAGAGATCGAGGCATATTGACGGCCAATAGAAAATCAAATTGCAAATTAAAAGCGAAATTAAAAAAATGCATTTTACCAGTTGAATACACCTTGTCTATACAGGGTGATTCAAAATTGGCGTCATTCCTTTCAAGGGGTGATAGAGGCTCCCTTGGGTTGTACGAGAAAAATATTGAAAATTATAAGAACAGTTGAAGATCGAATTTCAACTTTGTTATTAAGCATTATTTTGAAATGGTATTGTATTAGGAAAAAGTGGTGACAAAATGAAAAATTCAATGACAAAAGAGCTGAAAAACCCGCATTTTCCCAAGCCCGATAAACCACAAAACAACCTAGATTTGTGGCAAGGTTTAGTTGGATATCCTGAAAAATTACCTTTGAAACCGATCAGCGCAATTTTCGATCTTAACATTTACTTGCCAAAATGGACATTTATGCACGGTAATAAAGTGCGTTTTGTCATAAAAAAATCATCTTCATCAGCAGGGTGCACTCAAATTGGGCCCCATTTTCCTTGCAAACAATGGCTAAATCAAACAGCAATTACTGTAACCCGCATTGTTTCTTGCCTAAATTGCCGCACTATTTAAATATAAACAATAACAAATGCTTTGTGGACATGCCAAGATATTTACCTCATCCATCTCCAAACAGATCACAAAGTGTGACACAACAAGAGATGAGTATAAACAGCTTAGAGCACTGTATTATTAAAAATCAGTTTACAAACACAACAAAAACTTAACCCTACTTCTGGGCTACCTGTTGCGTTGCCAGGGACGCCAATAGCACCAGAAGAAGAAACCCCAACCATTTTTTGAGATTACCAGAACCTTCTTCATCAACCAAGCTTTTTAACTTTGATCAGTTAAACGTAAACTATACATAAAGCTGATGCACTTTAAATGCAAGCTTTGTATCGCTTCGGACGCAAAAAATGTAATCAAGATATCTGTAACTAATGAAAACTCCAATCAGTATGCAGCTGACCTGGAAGAAGCACATAAAAACAGCCATCGACAAGGTTAAGGTAACAACTGCCAAGCTGTACCCACTCCTCAATCGAAGAAGCCAGATGAGTATCAG